TAATTAGCCCACCATTAGATGGTCTTTGAGGCCTTGCTTTTATCCTTTTTTTTTTTCTTTTTTAATTCTGAAAGGTACTGCATGTCCTGCTGTCTGTGGAATGAACTGCTCATTCTGCATAGGGAGTATTTGTTACATGGGCAAAATGCCATGAGAGGATCTTTCACCACTAAGGGTTCCTTACTGGAAGGTGGCTGCTTGATGGGCATCTCGGCTCTAGTCTTCCCAAAAAGCATCCTGTGGTCACTTGCACAGTGGAACCCGAGTTGCTTGTTGCTGCTGTAGATTTTTCTTCTATGCGTTTAGAGAAAATAACAGCACATCAGAAAGTATGGTAGGCTTTGCTTAGACTCTCGCACTTCATGTTGAGACTTGACTTTGGGGCTCACTGAGGTGAGTAGTTCCTAGGGTAACCCCAGCAGTGTGGGTGTGGCAGGGGATCTCTTATGGTACCTTAGATGTTTCTGGAGGTCTTGTATATGTGGTGCTCTCTAGAGAACCCAGATTTCAGGTGGAAAGATTTGTTCCTCCAGACTTGGCTCAGTCAGAGCAGATGCTGGTTTGGTGTGTCCGTGGCCCCCAGCATGATACCTGTCACCCTGACAGGTTTGCAGAGAACATTACGCCTGATGGGGTGTTCTTGCGTCAAGAGGCAGATGGCGAAGACTTTCCAGACAAAGCAAAGTGAGCTTGCAGCCAAGCAGCCTGAGATCTGTGCTGTGTCATTCTCTCTCTTATGCCTGCTGTTTTTCCTTCCAGTGACAAGAAAAGGAAGTTGGAAACCAAACAAGAACTCAAACAGAATAAGAAGTTGAAGAAAAACAGAGATCTGAAAAATAGAAAAGATACGAAACTGAAGCGAAAGAAATAGTGAAGAAAAACTTGGGTATTGGTGGCTGCCTGCGAGGAGACAACTGACTTCCTGAACCATCTTTCTGGCTGACCTGGGCGGTAGCCTCGATGGTTAAAAGCAAAAAAGCCCCCAGCAAGCGTGGAACCTGGCCATGCGTTGTCTCCAGGCCTAGCCTGGCTGAAGGCAGTCACTCCCAGACGGCTCTGCCCAGAACTTGCTGGTTGGACAGAGCTCTGGCGCTTCTGTTCAGATCCTCGTTTCCCATGAGTTCACCTTTCACCTTGGGCTGGTGTCAGGCTCATTCCCATGTCTGGGGAAGCCATGCTGACTCCGTTCCTTTTCCAGGGCCTTAAGTGCACAGATTTTTGGTGATGGTCTAGATGGACTATTGGGTCTCTTTATGGACTTGTCCCAAGGCCCTGACTTGGAGCAGCAGGAGTCTAGTGTACCCAGAGGTGTGTGGCAGGCCCCTACTGTGTGCTGAAGCTGCATTTTGTTCCACTCTAGCTGCAGCACCTAGGAGCCCGAGCCCTTAATTTTAAGTATGACATAACATCTGAGTCTGCAAGTCCCGTTAAGTTGTCAGTTGGGAAGAAACTGGGAAAGGCCCTCTTGCTAGCAGGGTAAAGGGAGGGATAGAGAATCTATTTTTAATAAATGTTCTAGAAGATTCTTTGCCTGTGGGTGTCGTGAAGTCCACGTCTGTGGAAGGGCTGAGGGTGTGTGTTGTGGCTGGAACTTCCTAAGCCAGGAGCTGTGGGAGAAGCGGCAGGTACCAAGTGGCGCTGTGGTCCCAGTGAAGGGCTTGTGTGGTGAATAGCAGTCAGCTAGCTGGGCTTCTTTTCCTCCCTGGCCTCTGCCATGTCATTTGGTGTATCGTATTTGTTAGGGACAGAAATTACCTGGTGAATTAGCACATAGTCCATTGATGGTGTCCGTCCTGTGAGTCCAGATAGAACTTTGCTCACTTTGATGGGTAACCTGGGTTGGTAGAAGTATAGTGGAAGGACGGGACGGGCAGGCTCAGGTTCTGTGACTGCTAGAACTGCTGTGCTGCCTCTGTCAGGATGGGCACAATGGGGCCCTTGTTTCCTGGTTCTACCACTTCCTGCCACAGACCCTCCATTGGGTTTGCTGAGAGGAGTGGGAAAATAATTTTCACATTCTCAGGTAAGTGTCTGAGGCTGCCTCTCAGAGGATTGATTTTTCTTAGAGTGAGGCCAAAAAAGTCTGAATCCGAGTAATCAGAGCCAGGTGGTTTGGTCAGACGTTATCCAGGGTGTGTCCTGCAGGATGAAGCCCTTGCTCAGTGCCCAGCCCCTGGCTGCCCACTGCCTCTGCCCTGATCTGAGGGATGGGCTCTGAGGCCAGGTGCCCAGAAGGGCTTTGACACCAGCCCTGCTCTGACTCTCGAGAGCTTGGGCACCTTTGTCCCCACCAAAACCCATGTTGAAATTCAGTTCTCATCATGAGGTCTGAAGAGGTGGGACCTGCAGAGGTGACTTGGTCAGGAGGCACTGCCTCTAGGAAAAGGATTCATCTGCTCATTGGTAAGTGGGTTATCAAGGGGATCTGATGCAAAAGCCGCTTTGACCTGTGGATGAGTTCTGGCTGTGTGGCGATGTCTGTACCACCTGGGACCCTGCAAGGTTCCTGCAAGCGAGGAGGTCTTTATGGACCCAGCCTCTTGACCCCACCTCTCAGCCTCTGAACGGTAAGACTTGTCCTTATAAACTGTCCCCTTCTGACACTCAGTTACAGCCACAGATAATGGACTGGCAGGAATAGGCCTTCCTTCTGCTGCAGGTCTGGATCTGCTGCACAGGAATGGCAGGATGGCACCACCTCTGGGCCATGGAGAGCAGGGGTAGGGTAGATGGGAAGAGCCTGGAACAGGGCTGGCACAGCAAGGGCCACAAGTCTGGGCCTGGGCGCTCCACTGCACTGAAAAGGACCAGCCCTGTTCTAAACCAGCCACATAGGCAGCAGAGTGCTGCAGTATACCCGCTGTAAACAAGCAGCTCTGTGTCCCTGGACTGGGAGCTGTGCTCTCCCAGCTGGTCCCCCACCCCTCTGCACAAAAAAGGAAGTAAGGGTCCCACCTGCTGTATGCAGACCTGGCCCTTTCATTGGTAAGGCAAATGACACACTGCACAGTGTCTGGATTGTGTGGTCTCCATCGACCCTGAAAGGGCAGCCTCCCCAGACCTTGCCATCTGGTCCCCAGACAGTGACATCTATAAAGCTCAATGGTCTCGGGAGATGTCGCTTGTGAAATTAATTCAAATAGGCCCGCTCTGAATGCTGTCACCAGGATGGAAGGGGCTAAAGAAGCCTGAACAAAGGTGATTTCTCATCCTAGATTCCCCCGCCCCAAGCCAGGAGCGGGCTGATGTTAACCTGTTTCGGTGCTTCCCCAACTGTCTGGTCCCCATGGTCCTTGACTCGGGAGTGACCCAGAGACACAAAGGGGCCCGCTGAAACTGGGGAAGGAGGGGTGGGAATAAGTGACCGTCACCTTGGAAAATGCAGGCTCATTATCTGAGGCCATTACAACCTGGCAGCCGGTGTGTGGGCTTGGGGTGGGGGCAGGGTTGGACGCAGCGCTTCCGACTGGGGAGAAGGGGTCGACAGCCTCTGAGGGAAGGACCAAGCAAAATGGAATTGAGGCCTTGGGCTTCCTGGCACTGCCCTGGCTGCCTCTGTTGAGAGGGTTGTGACGGTGCTGACTGGCCAGGGCTACATTGGGTGGAAAAGGCAGTCGGGCAGAGTGCGGAAAGGCAAGTGAAACATCAGGAGGAGGTTGGCAGGAGGCCTGGCAAGAAGGCAGATTTGGGGACAGCTTTGGTGGCCCAGGGCTGGCTGTGTACCAGTGTCTGGAGGCGAAGGCTGGACACCGCCCCGTAAATGGTGCCTTAGTGCCCTGGGTGCAATGGTGAGCTCTGCAATAACAGACGATGCTCTTGGCTCTGGTTACCAACAGCTCCATTAGCAGTTAACTCTACTCCCCGCGCCTGCCTTGCTGCTCATCACTGAAGCTGGCAGCTGAGGAGAAAATGGCCCTGAATCCAGAGTTTGTCCAGCTGCCTGGGGTAAGTGCTCCATATCCCCATTGCTGTTAGAGTCCTAGCTCCTGGGAAGAATGTCTGATTTATTTTTTTCTAATTACTTTTATTTATTTTGGCTGAATGGGAAACTCAGGGTGTCACAGATACTAGGCAAGTGCTCTGTCAGTGAGCTATACCCTAGCCCTTCTAATTATTTTAAATGTTTTAAGAGTGTGTGCTTGCCATATACAGGCCCAGAAGAGCCCGGCCCTTCCTTTTAACCTCTCTGAACTGAGAGAGAAAACCCTAAAAAGACTAGTGTCAGGGCATAACCAGCCCTTGCCCTCTAGGCTGGGAACAGCCCTCCTGGACACAGACCCCTGAGGGGCAGCCACTCCACATCTTGAGCCCTGGGGGAGGGACACCTGCTCCTCCGTGTTCACAGGGCCTCTGAAAAAATGGACGTCAAGCTGCATCATCTCCTATAGCCCCCAGAGGGCACTGTAGTCCCCACGCCAGTAGGGCTGCCTGGTCCTGCCAGGTCCAGGGCCTCAGGCTGGACATGAAGTTGCCCTTTGTCCCCTATGCCAGCAAAGCGGGGAAATGGGGCTTTCTGGGGATGGGCTCCTACAGGTCTTCATCATACCGCAGCGCAGTCCTGGCATATTGCTGAACCATAGCCACTCTAGCTCAGGTTCCCACTGAGCTTAGGGATTTTTCTTTTGGCCTTACGTGTAGCATTTTAAAAACCTCCATTTCTGCCTGGACTTTACACCCAAAACTACAATAGTTCCTAGGAAAACCTTGGGTCCAAACATTTTCTCTGCCAGAGTTCCTGCCATGGTTCAGCAGCCAGGGTCCAAGCCCCACCCACGAAGCTCCCACACTCTGCGTGGAGGGCCTGGGCTCAGGACAGCAGACCCCTGAAGCTGCCCCATTCCTCAGTCTGGCTCTTTCTAGTGACCTACACCTGCTTAGTCACCATCTGCCTCACCGCATAGGTGGAGAGATGGGAGCCCTGGGTGGTAGGGAATGAGGTTTGGGCTCCTCAGCTCAGAACTCAGAGCAACCCCCACCAGGAGCAGCGAGGCCAAAGTCATTGTTAATGAGGGTTTATTGTTAATAAAACCATGGTACATTTACAATGGCAACATTAATGTACAGTTACAGTATCGTACAATATTACAGCAATAAAATAACACCTATTCCTTTGTACATCCAGCTCAAGCAGCTAGTTGAAAATATTTTCCAGATTGTAAGCCCAAGGGGCTTTTCAAGGTGACAGAAGTGACACCTGAAGCACCCAGGGCTTTTGATGAATAAATAGTTCCTGTGGCGCAGCCTGGCTACACCAGAGCAAGCTGTCCTTGATGCTCTCCCAGTGTCTGCTCTCCGCACAAGCCAGGGGACGCAGCTGAGGGTCCTGCTCTCCAAACCCTTCCCTCCCACCAAGGCCCTGTCCTTTCTGCCCCAGAGCTGCAGTTCCCAATGAGAAGTGTGCCTGCTCTCTGGTCCTGAGGTAAAGGAACCTTTCACTTGAGAGGCTGGGCCGGGGAGGACAGAATCGGCCTGCTCTGGGCCTGAGTTGTGGAATCCACCTCTTTACCTTGGCCCCTAACAGCAGCAGCAAAGCCAAGGCCACCAAGACCCTATGCTGTGCCCCCCACATCCTGGACTCGGAGCCATCACCTGGGACAGTGTGCTGCAGGTCCCAACTCCATGGAAAATAGGCAGACAGAGTGGGTCGGGGCGGCCCACACCAAGCCTTTCAGAGCAGAGGCACAGCCTCCCGGAGGGTAAGGCCAGGGATACGGGCAGCCTTTCCCCTGGAAAGCATACTAGGTCTGCACTCAAGGGCCTGGGCTCAGAGAGGGTACATTCACAAGGAGCCCCAGCCGGGGTGGGTGGAGCTCAGAGCAAAAGTGGGACGCAAGGAATGGGGGGTGGCCCTCAAGGTGTAACTGTGTACCTTTTGGCCACGCCCCTTTCTGGTTGAGCAAACGGTGAGCTCTCTGGGGCGGAGGGTAGGGCTGTGCGGTGAGAGGTGGGCTCAGGGTATGTGAGGGGAGATGGCGTCAGGAGTCCAGCCCCACCCGTAGGTTCCAGCCAGCTGCTCACACCCGGGAGGTAACGTAGACCGAGTGTACGCGCTCTGCCAGGGTGCTCTGCAGGTCCTGCAGCGGGTCCAGGCCCTGCACTTTGCTGCTGCGGCTGTAGATGAGCTGCCGGAAGGCATCCTGTTCCAACAGGGCCTTCATGTGCTTGAGGAAGAAGCCCTCACAGAACAGGGCCAGTTCTGGGGCATTGTGGATCTGCAGGCAGAGAGGTGGCGGGGTGAGGCTGCTGCCTTGCTCAGCCCCACCTCAAATCCCCCAGGCTCACCCTGGCCCCAGGTGCCTGTCTGCATCTTGAGGCCACCTCCCCCTTACCTGAACTCCATCTATGAGCATCTTCTGGGAGTGGGACCTTTCCTAAGTTCAAGTTCCACCTATACCACTGAGAATACCACTAAGTCCTGCCCCCGCCCCTATGTCACATGGGCGATGCAGACCTGGCCGCTGGGCTGGAAGCTGCCCGCCTATGCACAGGGGCTGCATGGCTGGCTGCCTACATCCAGCTGGATGCCCTGGTGGGTAAGTGCTCTTCTGTGAAGGCTCTGGGACTGTGCCACTGTGTGGTGAACCGAGTGCCTGCTCGGGGCCAGGTACTGGCATTAGGTGCTCAGCAGTGACAAGCTGGGGAGAGCATGGGCTGGCATGGTGTGGTCAAGAGGGAGGGACACGTGGGTGGCAGCCTAGGTGCCTAGGCAGCTGTGACAACGATTGGCTTTTATTTGCAAGCAGTGGGAAAACTTTGGAAAGAACTGTGTGGACTGCAGGCGAAGGCCAGGCCCATGCCACTGGGACAGGATGAGGGTGGCAAGGTGAGGACAGTGGAGACGGGGGCATGCACAGAGAGGTGGTCTTCCAGAGAGAGGTGGTCTAGGTGCTGTTGTCTGCTGAGACGGCCAAGCGTGGGGAGAACATCCAGTGAATACCGTAAGAATTGACGGGACCTGGCTGAGCTGCTGCCCAGCTCCCAAAGCCCAAGGCTGGCAGAGCGGGAATGGCTACCGGTGCCCTGGCACACCCTCCCCCGTTCTTCAGTGGTCCAGCTGCCCGCATTTCCAAGCCTGGCCCTGGCTGCGAAGCAGGGTGGACAGCGACGCCCTGGCCCTCACCTTGGCGTATTTGTAGGTGTTCACAGCGCTCTCCACGCTGAGGGTCTGGGAGCACAGGATCTCGCAGTGCCTCTGCAGGGCATCCAGCTGGAACAGGCTGGCAGCTGACAGCAGCTGGAGGCGGGGAAGCAGGCAGTGGGTACTCACGGCCAGGCCTGTGTCCCGGGCACCAGGGAACGGAGGGCTTCCGAGTGTGCCCAGGAGAGGGGGAGGTGGCCAACCCATCCCTGTCCCTCTCTATCCCATGAGCATGACCAGGAGGCCGGGAGCCGTGAGTCACCAGCTTGGTCTCAGAACTGCCCTAGCTGTGAGTGACAGGAAGGACCCTGCAGGGGACCACCCTCCTCTTCTCTCTCCACTGCAAGTACTGTGTTTCTGAGAGTGGGGGACTAAGCCATGCAGAGGTCTAGGGGTGCGAGGTGAACAGGGGACACAGTCGCTCACCTCCAGGATGTCGGCGGTGGGGATCTCCATGGATTCTGTTCCACCATAGTACAGATACTGCATCATCATCTGTGGTGGGAAGAGGCCCCATGTAAGGGCCATGCCAGTCCCCACAGTACTGCTCCAGCTGCTCCGCCTGGGGCTGGCCATGCCTTCCTAACTTTGTCCACCCTGCTCGGGCTGATACTCAAATTCTGTTTGCTGCAGAGCGCCACCTCAAGATGCCAACCTGAGGCCTCCTCCTGCATCCCACCCACTCTGGTTTCCCTTCAGTCCTCGACCCATGAGGCCGGGACAGCAGACATCTAGCTCTGCTACCCCTCCACACATGCTGCTCACTGCTTTTACTCTAAATTTTACACCTGGAGCGGGAGGGAGGTCCCTGAGGGGACAACTGTGTAACCCACTACCCTCAGGGCGCCACATCCTGGCTCCCTGGCAGATCTGCTCTTCAGAGAAGGAAACACAGAGCCCAGGCCCTGACCCTTAGCTCACTGGCCACCTGGCAGAAATGCTGTGGCTCTTGGGACCAGGGTGGAGGTGGCCTAGGAGGAGAGCTTTACTGAGGTCTGTTACTGACTCTGCCATCTTTCTGGAGCCTGGAGAGGTTCCCAGTTGGAAAAAGAAAAACAAATCCCTCTCGTTGGCTAAAGCAACACCCCACACAGTGCTGGCAGGCTGGCGAGTAAACAAGGCTCCTGCCACGTAGTCGGGCTCTGTTGGGACCGGCCCTTGGGCTCAAGAGGCACCAGAGGGTCTAGGAGGAAGCCAAGGTGGGAAGACTGCTGCCTCTCTCCACTGCGGGGCGAGGCTCCCCCAGCCTCCTGCAGCCCTGGCTGGAGCCTGTGCCCTCTTATAATTGTGCTGAGAGGTTGTTACAGTGCCAGCAGGACCAAGGCACAGACCCCGGCTAGCCTGTGCCCAGCACGGGAGTAAGCAGGTAGGTGCGTCAGATCTTAGAGGATCCTTTGGCAAGGCCTGGCCAGGAGTTCTGCAGCCCTCAGCATGCTGCTCCCCTCCTGCCTGGAAGGTGGCCTCCTGCTGTATTTAGGGGACTGGATTTGGCAAAGCCCAGCCAGATGGTGAGTATGGATGCATCAGTCCTCAGAAACCAGTAGAACTCACTGGAGCCTTGCTAAGGGCCTGGGTGGACAGCAGGCATAGGTGGGTTAATTTCGCACAACCTCTCTTGAAATTCAATTGAGATCCTCCTGCCTGAGCCTCCCAGATTGCTGGAATTACAGGCACGTGCCAACATTCCCAGTTTAGATCTGATCTTAATTGATTACCTCTTGAAGTGGTAATCTTTGGCTACATTGGGTTAAGTATATTAAAATTTTGACTTTTTAAATTTTAGATGTGACCACTAGGAAATTTTGAATGATAACCTATGACTCATATCTTTCTATTTGGCAGGCCAGCTTTGAGCTCCTTGGGCCTCTCTTTCCTCCTCCTGGCTTTCGTAGCGGGCTCTGACCCTGCATTGATGGCTTGAGGCTAACCTGTCCAAGGGCGTCCAGGAATCAGCAGTGAGGGTCCAAGGTTTCACCTAGATGATGGCCACACTGAACCCTGGGCTAAGGCTGTGCTCTGGGCCACGTGTCAGGGAAGGGCCAGGTGACCGTTTCCAAGGCCCATGTGTGCACAGCTGTCAGACCTGTTGTCCCCATTTACCCTCACACCAACCCCGAGAAGTCACTGGCTGCTAAGGGCGTAAGCAGAGCCTGTCACGTCACCCGTCCATACGTGTCCACCAATGCCTTCCACGCCCTGCGACCAGCCTCCTGGCTCTGATCACAAGTCCACTTCACGCTCCAACTCAACTGGGCTTTACTTCTTGGCCAGACAAGTTTCTAAAGCTGCCTTCCCCAGCAAGTTTGGACCAACAGATGAGAACAAGGAACAGGGAGATTCTCTCACTCTTCTGCCAGAGCCCAGGGCTTCAGCCTGGTCTGCCTCCCTGCATATCCCACCAACACCAGGCCAGGTCACCTTCATCACTCAGCTGGACTCCTCAGCAGCTCCTGACTGGGCCCCTGTGTGGTAGCCAGACCCTCTTCCATCCCTTTCTCACCTTTCTAAATGCAGCCATGACCATTCAGCACATCCTGGGCTTGAAGCCTGGCTCTATCACTTCCCAACTATGTGGTCTTGAGCAAGTTACTCAACCTCTCTGGTTCCTCCTTTAAGCCTCACAGCACAGTCCTAAGGGCTGCAGGAAGCATGCCTAAGAATGTGTTGGTGCTGATATCTTCCACGGCATAAAGCCTTTGTCCCTGGATTAAAGTTCAGGCTCTTCATGCTGCGGATCCTTAGAGCAGCTTCGGACTCCCTTTCACTTTTGACTTGGACGTGGCATGCACTCTGGGACTTTGGCTTTGCTCTGCCTTCTACCTCGAGCTCCTTCCAACCTCAGCCGGCCGTCACTGCTACAAGAAGCAACCTCATGTCCTATATTTGATGGAGACGCATCTTTCCTGCACCTCCCTGCAGCTGTCCCTGTGTGCCGTACCACCGTCTCGCTGAGGGAGGCCTGCCTCTGTACCCATACATGGCTGAGTGTTAAGTAAGTGACTGAAGGGCAAATGAGAAGAAACTAGGCATTTTAAATGGTGGCTTTCTCTTCTTCCTCAAGGTACAGAGGATTCTGTGACTTCTAACGTTAGTGCACAACCCCTCCTGGGCAAGGCAAGATCCCTGTCCTCCAAGTCTGGAGACCTGAAATTACCGCTTTCCAGAGGAGCTCTTAGCTGGGGCTGCTCCTCCAGGCCTTGACTGCACCTGCTCTGACTGGAGTTCCCATTACACGGGCTTCTGCCTGGCCAGCATCAGCCTCTAGGCAGCCCAAGGAGGCTCCGATGCAGAAGACCGGGGATGGGCCTGGGACCTGGGTATCCAGCAAGCTCTCCATGATGCTCATTTGCTGGTAGCTCACTCAAATACGAGTGCCCACAGATCAGGTGGGGGGGGCAGGTGCCTGTCCTTCATGTCTTTCTGCAGGCCACCCAGATTGCTGTGCCAGTGCCTAAAGCTTGGGACCGACCATGGAAGGCTCCCTCAGCATAGGGAAGACTATACCAGCGATGGTGAGCCTTTCAGAGTGTTTACTGATACGGCACACTGGCATGAAGGCAGGTTGACCACCACTGACCTACATACCTGGCTGCTGGTGGCAAAGCAGAGGGCACTGGGGATAGAGTGGACGATCAGGACCAAGCCATAGCCGCCCTGACCCCAGATGGACAAGGCCAAGGGTGGGCTGTGGGGCAGGGGCGTCTGAGAAGAGCACAGTACTGGTTCCACGCACCTGGAAAATGTGATACTTCATGTCACTGATCTCAATGGTTTTGCTGCTGTCTCCATCTTGTTCTGATTTATTGGTCATTAGCGTCTTAAACCTGAAGTGAAAGAGACAAAAAAAGGCAGAGCTAGGACATGACTTTTACTCCATCACCGAGCAGTGACAGCACCATCTGTCACCTGACCAGGAACTGGGAGACAGCGTACTTTAAAAATGACTGCAGTGTTTCCAAAGTAACTTGTGGCAGGTGACATTTTACATCATCTGGGCTGAGCTGTTCTGGCCCCTCCGCCCCTCTCAATCCAGTGACCTGGAATCAGCCTGTGGTCACAGCACTAACTCTTCATGTGTTCTAGCAACCCAAAGCAATGAGGAGGGACAGCCCCTCAGCACTCCCTGTGCACTCCAGGAGTTCTGTTGTGATGGGGCAGGGGCTGCAGGGTATCGACTCCTGCCAACCGCTCTGCTCCAGCACCTGGCACCTGTGGTATGAACTGAGCTGCCTCGTGTCCCTGAGGTGGGGACTTGGTTATCCCAGATTGTCTACCTGTTGGAAGCTGTCACCAGGAGGACTTTGTGTGCGTAAAACAGCTTTCCTTCCACTAGGAAGGTCACATCTGACATCTCCTTGTTGTTCAGGAAGTGAGGATCTGTGAAACAGGGAGAGACAGGAAGTAGCCCGTGAGTCCACTGCAGGAGTTTCTAAGAGGCTGAGGATGGGACACAAAGGTAAGAAAGTGAGGCAGGGCCTTGGCACTTAGGAAAAGAAAAGGAGGATATGGTGAGGGGAGATAAGAAAGTGAGAGGAGCGTGTGTGCTGGGGAGGATGGCGACAGGCCTCACCTAGCCTGGCTGGCAGGGTCTTCCGGATCTCCGGGATGCTGGGGATGGGGGTGCTGCCATAGCAGTGTGTGAAGATGGCAGCCAGCTGCTGAATGACGGAGTCGTTCTGTGAGGGAGAGGCAGAGGGGGCCGTCAGCTCACCCGCTGCAGCCGTCTGTTTACAGCTGCAGCTAGATCAGGCTAATTTCAAAGGTCCAGGCCAGGATTAGAGTGGCCGCTGTCTTTTGTTCTTGCTGGAGCTGGCTTGGCAAGAGATCCCGTTCCTTCATCAGTGATTCCTCAAATGGCTTTTTTGGCCAGACTCCAGTGCAGACAAACCCATGGCCTCTGCCCTCTGCAGCCAGGCGCTGTGAGGCTGAGTGTGCCATGTCCACATGTGTCTGGCTGTGTGTCAGTCCGGGTCGGGACTATGGGCTCCTGAGCCTGGGGTGGGGGCGCCTGGCCACACTCACTTTGCTGGTCTTGAGGATGTCGAACATGAGCTGCAAGCCCTCCGTCACCAGCTCCTCGTTGTACTCCTCCTCCTTGATGGAGCTGAAGTCCCGAAGCAGGCTCTGCACCACCGAGTACCGAGACTGGGAGAACGAGGTCCGCAGAGACTCGAGCCAGATGTGCAGCTTCCAGGGGACACCTGGCCCAGGAGGGAAGCGGGGTGTCATTCATCTCAAAATACTCCCGCACAGATTCAGGGCAGGTGTTTCTCAGTGCTCTGCTGTCTGCACAGCACTGGGCCCCCCATGCCCTCGCTGCCCACCCTGTCACCATGTGCTCAGTGACCGCTCCTCCAGTCATGTGATGAAAGTGCTAATTGGCTCTGAGAGGCGTTGCTGGAAGGGCAGGGGCATTGGGTTTCAGCCCCAGAGCAGGAACTCGAGATTTCTTGTCCACTGCCTGCTGACCCGTAGAATCATTTGCTGGGGAGATGTGAACTCTGGAGGGGTGGCCAGGTGAACCTGGAGGCCCAGGAAATGTGCAGGGCACTCGATGCCCACCCTCCATCCTGGACAGGAGCTGTCGAGGAGGGGTTCCCTACTGGCTCACTGGTATGTCGGGCCACATCCAGGGTGTGTACCGCCTGTTTACCAGCTCCTCAGAGTGTCGGAGGGCCGCAGTGTAATTTAAAACCATGCGGACGTTCGTGACAAAAGCCAGTCATTCCTGGTAATTCCCCAGCCTGACTGGGTTGAAGGGACCTGATGGCCTTCTCCGGGGATATGATGTGTCAGCGTCTGGGGTCACTGCTTGCAGGTGGGAGTGGAGGCCACCCTGCTGCTCTCCGGCCCAGCCCTGGGGGGATGTGTACATGGCCTGTGACAAAACATGAACCAAGTCCTCCTCCAGGGGCCACCTAGCTCAGGTTTCAGGTGATATCATCCCATTCTTAACTGAGGGTCTCCAGCACCAAAACCACAGAGAGGAGGGAACCGAGACTCGGAGATTACGTGGTGGCAGCTACACGGTCTGGCTCACGTCTGCCTGAGCAGCCTCCCTGGAGGACAGAAAGGCCAGACTCCCAGGCGCAAGGAGTGGAAGGCGGGCTGAGCTGGCAGACACGTGACTCATCCTGTACACATCCTCAGGGCATCTCAGACTCTCAGTGCTCCACAGCCTTGGGCTGTGACGAGGGAGAAGGGCAGGCCTGAGGGCAGAGGGCTGTGAAGGCCCAGAATGTTTCTCGTCATAGTGACGTGTGTCTTAGCCATTGCCTGGTGGTCTTGTCTATCCCTGCGGCCCGGGCCTCTGCCGCCTGCTGGAGAGCAGCAGGGAGTGACTACACACGCTCAAGGGCATTGTGTGCACCTGCGCAGCCTTACCCAGGGCCCGCAGCTCCATGGTGATGTCCACGTAGCCGTGTTCAGCGCTGTAGTACATGGCCTCCTGCAGTGCCTTCGTGCGGGTCCGGCTCAGCCGCACTGGCCCCTCGCTGCTGCTGCCCTGGCTCGATGTGTCACTCTCCTCCACGCCCTCAGCCAGGATCTCCTCCAGGGATAGCACGTCGGCTTTGGCCTGCTGCGGCTGAGTCAGGAGCTTCCTCAGGATGTTCCTGCAGGCCACGGCATGGAGGAGGATGAGGACGGGATTCCCAAATGGATGACCAGGCCCACATGGGCTCGAAAGGCTAATAATGGTCTTTTTTTCCCCAGCAGGGTGGGCCAGGGCTCCCAGGGGGCCCCAACTCGAGACTTGGAGGAGAGGGGAGGGTGCAGGGGACTGTACAACTGCTGTCCTGGTGTCAGAGGATGCCAGCTGTGGGGCGGAGACAGTGCTGCCGCCCTGGCCTTGTGGTCTCAGGCTGTGCTCCCTCACCGAGTCCTAACTGCAGCACAGGGCATCGACGCCATCCCTTCCCAGGGCTGATGTGAAGCCAATGTGCAGGCATTAAGTGCAGCAGAGCCCGGGAGCGGGCAGCTTGAGAGTCAGGCACTGGACTTGGCCTGGCCGTTCCCCTCCTGGTAAGGAGAGCCACGTGGGGATGAATGTCACACTGAGTTCTTTGGGGGCAGGATGTTAGACCTGACAGCACGTTCCATGTCCCGCTGCACTCGGCCCCAGGAGACCCTACAGGCACTGCCATTTAAGGGTCACAAATGTGGTATCGAGGCCACACTGGGGGCAGTGCAGACCCCTGTGGCCTGTGGCTCTGGGTGGCTGCAGCATGGGGAAGACCTGAGGGTCTCCTGGGGGCTGAGCCATGACCACAGCATCCCTGCTGGGCCCTCTCCGAGGACCTCCCAAGCTCATGGCCCAGTGGCCCCCTGGGAGGACCCAAGGGCATTGGCTGCAGCTGGCTCTTCATTCGGTGATGTGCGAGCTCCAGAGTTTATAGAGCACCTGGTCTGGGCCAGGTACTGTATGTGAAGGTGATGTGCCACAGTGCCTGTCCCCAGGGGGCTGGCAGAGGAGCAATAACAAAACAGAGGCCACAGGGGACAAATGCAGGACCTGGTGGGGAGAGGGGCCTTGGGAAGTGATGTCTAAGATGGTGCCTGGGGCTGAGGTGGGTAAGGAACAGCAAGTAGGTTCCCCACCTGCTAGCCCTTCTTGGCATGTTCTCTGCCCTCAATAACCTTCATTTCCTGTTGTCCCCAGTGCCGCCTACTGGCTCTGATCTTGGCCTGCTGCTGTCTTGTCACAATCTGGGCAGGCCCACCCTCTGCTCTAGGGGCATCTTCCTGGCTGAGCCATGCCCTGTGTGAATGGGTACCCTGAGGCCGCCATGGGCTCAGGGGAACCCCCACCAAGCAGGGTGGTGGCGTACTAAGTGGGCTGGCAGCTCTGATATAGCTGTCTCTCTGGAAAGCGGGACCAGTCGCTCTAGGCAGTGGGAGGCACAGGCCCAGCTCCGGGTCTGGCAGGACCTCTCTGAGGCACTCTGACTTGGAGGCTCCAGGCCTTGCTCTGCTGCCACCACTAAGGAATCCAGGCTCCCAGGAGCCTCTTTCAGCATCCCCAGGTCACCCAGGGCAGGCACACGGGGCAGGTACCTGTGGCCATGGGCAGCCGAGTGGCTGAAGCAGTTCATGTCCTCGTGGAGGGAGGAGGCCATGCCACTGGCCTCCAGCATGCTGAGGAGGGGGTCGGCACCCCGGCTCAGCAGCAGGCTGACCAGCTCGTAGTTCCCTGGAAGATAAGGAGGAGATCTGAGGGCGATGAGAGGGTGGCTGGACACTGAGGCAAAAGGGAAGGGGCAGGAGAGGGTACTTCCGACTCTGAATGCTGGAGAATGAGGAGGAAAGCCCTCATCTGACAGGCACGGGAGAGAGGGAGAGATGCAGGCGGAAGGCTGGCTGTGTCCTGCCATGGTCCCCTCTTGGACTTGCATCGGGAAATGCCTCCTGCCCTGATTCTCCTTTCTGGGCACAGTGCTTAGCAGGATGTAATAGAGGGTCCAGGGGCACAGAAGGAGGGATTTTTAAGGGACCCCAAAGGGAGGGCATGTACCTACCAGCTGCAGAGGCCAGCTGCAGGGGTGTCTCTGCATAGCTGTCCTCACCACTGTTCACTGCCGAACCCTCCACGTGGGCACCTGCATCCAGCAGCAACTACCAGGGACACGGAGGGGAGGGCACTGCTCAGCTTCGCAGGGAGCATGGGGAAGAGCCAGAGCAGCCCTGTTTGGGAGTGGGGCTGCGGCTCTCTCCAGGCACGTGCCATGACAGCTCACCCTGAGGCTGAGGCATGGGAACTGGAGAACCCCTGGTTACCTCAGCTCCACGCCTGCGGGCCTGGCCAAGCCCATGAGCTGTAACCACCTGAGCTATTTCTCTCGATGCTTCCCTACCAAATGGCTGCAGTGGCCTTTCTGAGGACTTCGTGGAGATGGACAGAACAGAAGTGTCACTCTCAAACTACAGGGGGAAACCGAGGCCCTGGGAGGCAGCAGGTGTTGGAAAGAGTGCAGCACAGGCCGGCCACTGACCACTGAGGGACTCTCCAAGCCTGTCTTCCTCATCTGTAAAAGGAGTGAGGCCTATCTTGTGGTAATGCCAAGATTAAAGGAAACCAGACCACACAGTAGGGGCTAAAATCACCAGTGGCTCAGGCTCCTCCTAGAGACGTCCAGCAGCTTATCTGCCCCAGCTGGCAAGAGGTGGAACAGGGCAGGATATCACGCACTGTTCTGGGCAGAAAGTGACTTCTCCCCATTCCAGCAAGGGCAGGTTTGCCGGTGGACAGTGGGGCAGGGTTAACAGATACCAAACAGCCCCGGCCAGGCGGGGTCTGGCTTTGGCTTGGGGACGGGTGGTGTCTGCCTCCTGCTCTGGAGGAGGACCGTGAGAATCCCAGGCCCTGGAGACACACCCTTCTCGGGTGCCTGGCGCCGCAGCAGATGTGAGGAGCCAGCTGACCTCCAGCTCCTCAGAGGGAGACTCGTCAGTCAGAAACCGCCATGCCCAGGCTACGGAGGTGGAGTCCCGCCCATGGAGATGAAACTGGGCACCAGTCCAGGCAGGCCCAGGGCACAGCTCGCAGACCCAACTCTGCTTGGCTCCTTGGGAGGGTAGTAGCTTCCAAGCAGGCCACATGTGGCCATGTCCCTACTGGGAGCTAGGACACACTTCCTGCCTTCCGAGCCCTTGCAAGCCAGCTGAGGGTGAGGGCATTATAGGGACTTCCAGTGGTGTGGATGTGGGGGTGTGCTGGGAAATCCTGTGGCCCCAGGACTTAAGAACCTCGGAGTTGACTGGTGTGTGGCCGGTGCCCCTGCTAGTGTGGGAAGTGGCTCTGCCCAAACTTTCCACTTCTAGAACCACCACCCTCTGTCTCCCCAGCCACAGCCACTCAGGCCCCAGGAGGAAGCCACGGTGTGGAGCAGGCTTGGGGATGGATTCATGAGAGAACGGCAGAGAAGGCTCAGAGGGCTGGAAGTGAGAAAACCGAGTGGGCTTGCACAGGTCTTTGCCAAGAGAAACACAGATGTGTGACTACTATGTGGATCTGGGTCCTTTTTTCACTTTGGCCGTGTTGAGGACTGAACCCAGGCCTCACACATACCGGGCAATACTCTTCCCTGGGGATCAGTGAGCCTGGCCTGAAGTGGCACTTTTGATTCCCAGGTGAGGCTGGGGCTACGCTTGGGGCCCAGCCCCCTCGGGGAGCAGGGGGCACACTGTGCCTGGCAGGAGCTCACCTGGACAACAGAGATGTGTCCATGCAGCACAGCAAATGTCAGCGAGGTCCAGTGCCGGCTGTCAGGGTGGACAGAGGGGTGCCTGAGAGAGTTGTTTGGAACCTGGAAAGCATAACACATGGTGTTTCCAGGGGTAGGTGACATCTCTGGGCAGGTGACAGAGGTACCTTAGCTAGGAGTGTGCCCTGCAGGGATACTGAATAGGACCCAACTCAACTTGATTGGTAATGTCTTCCTGGAGAACTCTTGTAAACAGTTCCAAAAGAAAGGGTAGGTGCTCAACTGATGATGTCTGCCATGGCAGCACAGGGAGCACTTCGTGCCTCAGAGATAGGCAGAGCCAGCAGTATTTGAGGAGGCCGAGGAACAGGCTGGGGAACAGAATGGTGTCTGTTCTCTCCACTCACCCCCCCCTTACCTCACTCCCTCTCAGTCCAAACCATGAGGAAAATCTCTGCATCTTTTATTTCTAGCCTCCGAGACACGTCTACCAAGTTGTCCAAAACATCACACTCACTGTAGGTGCCGGAGACCTCAGGCTGGCCTCTGGTTCGGGGCCGGGCTCACCTGGATGTCCAAGTTTGCTCCAGCATCGATCAACATCTGGACCATGGCTTCATCCCCCGCAGCACAGGCATACATCAGCGGTGTCATGCCCTGCTCGAGCGGAAGGCAGGCGCTCAGACAACACATCCCACAGGCCTCTGCCCCAGGAACCCCGGATGCAGCTGCCCATCTGATACAGCTGCTTCTCCCCAGCCCTTCTCATGCTTCCCCGGCCCCTGGACACAAGACCCCAGAAAGGTAAGGAGGGGACATTTTCACAAGCACTGTGGACGCAGAAGTGGGGGAAAGCACAGGCAGCCTCAGATGTGGCCTCTGCCACAGGTAACTGTACACTTTGTAGAAGGGCCTCAGTTTCTTGTATCTGCCTGACAGACTTGCTGTGTGGGTTGATGTGTATGAGGTGCTTGGTACAGAGTAAGCTACCTAGATAAGATACCACCAGCAGCGTCACCTGTTCCGTCCTCGTACACTGAGCCTGTGTCTGGAAATCCGTACTAGGAGACCGACACGCAGGGTCTCGTTTACCCTGTGCTGTTCCTACCATCTCAGAGGCGAGGCGCAGAGAAGGGGAGTTAACTGCCCAAGGCCACGTGGCTAGCAAGAGGCAGAACTCGGACCGGACCCCAGGTACGCATGAGCTGTGAAGCCCATGCTTCGAGGCGTCACCCTGAAAAGCACAGAGCCTTCGCCCAGCATTTTGCACTGCTGACCCGTCTGGGGCTTTTCTGGAAGCTGTACCCCACTTCCCCCAGGTCTGGGGGGTGGTTAGCCGGGCTGCCCCCTGGTTGAGTCTCCCTGTGGCCTGAAATAGCAAAGGTGAGGGTTGGGGTGGCGGGAAGCGTGTATTCCACAGCTGGAGCCTAGCAAGCATCTGTCCAGCGTTCTGCACTATGATTTATTAGGTTGTGTGTGTGTAGACAAGATCTTCTTAACTCATAAATCCTTGTCTAGTGCTCAAAGATAAAGAAATGGCCCCAGATCCATCATGGGGCAGAGGACTGTTTACTTACACATTGTGCTATAAATACCAAAAAGGTTTAGGGAACAGCAGGATGGAGCATTCAGAGAAAAGCCAAGGGCAACGTGACGAAGCTGTGGCTTTGTTTTGTCCCCTTGTCGACACAGTTGACTTCCTTTTTCCCCATGTGTCTGTACAAAATTCAGAGTTTACACCGGACTGTGAGCCATAGAGGGGAGACCATTTTAAAGGCTGTTTCCATCTCCAGTCCAGGCACACAGAGGCTAATGAGGCGGCAGATCAGACTTCAGGGACCTTCACCATCATGATCGTGCTGACAACTCAAAGCAGTGTGGCATTCATTGAGGCACCAGATGGACACTCTCAGGAATCCCTATGTGGCAGGTAATTCTCCCCCAGCCAAGTGGTGAGGAAACGGAGGCTCTTTAGGGAGGTAGGACGACTTGTCTACACTGTGGGGGACTAAATCCTGCCTTCCAGTGAACCCCCGTCCACGGCTCCCCCTACATCACCAGAGATGGCGGTGGCCCCAGATGAAGGTCCCGCAAAGCCCAGCGCGCACCGATTGTGGGGCCTTGTGAGATCTGCTACCCAAGGCCCCTGCAATCCCATGGTCTCCTCACCCCAGCCCTGCCCGAGTCACCCCTTTCCTGGGAACACCTCCCACTCCTGTCCTCCCTCGGGCTCCACCTGTGCTGCCCGCTAAAATGTCATCACTCTCGCGCTGAGCTGTCGTCTCATCTGAAAGCATGGCTTCACTCTCTGCTGTCATTTAACTTTCCCCATGCTTCTGTGTGGTCTCCCAAACCACACCGTGCCCTTACATACACAGTCATGGTTCCCAAAACAGAGTCAAATAAACAAATGGGCTACTCCGCCCTGGTTACGCATCTGAGTCAGACCGCCTGGGTTCTGCTTGTCCTAGCTCCGTTCCTTACTCACTGCGTGACTTTAGGTAAAGCAACTCTCTGAGCCTTGGTTTCCTCATCTATAAAATGGGCGAAGTAATTGTTTCATTGGGCTGCTCTCAAGATTAAAGGAGTAACGTATGTGAAGCCCTTAGAATGATGCCTGTAACACAGTAAATGCTGTGTTGTAGCCATTCATATAGAAAACAATTCAAACACAAAAAGCTCACGTTAAATTCCATTTAAAATTGTAAATCACCTCCAACATTTCTCACCCCTCCTCCAGCTTCATTTTACTCCTTAGCACTTTTCATTAACATACTCTATATTTTAGTGTGTCTGTGTCTTTTTTTTTCTTGTTGTGGTAATGGAGATTGAACCCAGGGCCTTCGTACTGAGCTACATCCCCAGCCCTTTTTAATTTTTAAAAATTTGAGTCTTGCTAAGTCACTAAGTTGCCCAGAGCTCTGGGATTGCAGGTGGTGTTTTCTTACTGTCTGTTTCCTCGCTAGAATGTCAGCCCCAGGAAGGCAGGGGTTTCCAGGGGCCTGGTATAGGAGGCACACAATACACTCCCACCTATTGGCAATTATGATCGATAGCTCACTGTCAAGTTGACACCTCTGGACTCTTCCCAGCCTTGGCCATCTGGGGCAGTTGCCAGCCCTCCAGCCAGGGAAGTGGAATCCACATCACTGAGGTTATCAAGGGGTCCCTGGTAGGGTCCGAGCTCAGAAGCACAGAGCTGAGCATGTCTCAGATTAGGGCACAGGGACTCTCCCTCTAGCTCCAGCACTGTGGATTCCTAAGTCTGGCCCCTAAGTCCAGCCTAGCAGAGTTCTGGGAAATTACCTGGTCGTCCATGGTGTTCACGCCATCGGGTCCCAGGGCCTCGATGGCCTGGTTGATGAGGTCTGTCCGCCCACAGTTGAGCATGCGGAAACCCAGGTCCTGGTTGAACTTTTCCGTAGCAGCGTGGGCATCCAGCCTCCGGAAGGAACTGAAACAGCACTCGGGTCTGCCCAGAAGAGAACAGGACGTGTGTGAGCCTGACTGTGCTAGGACCCTGCCCCACAATGACATGGGCCTTGGCTGGGCTGGGCTGACGTGCGTGAGGATGGCTGGAGTGGGGAAGGACCGGGGCTTGCCGTGTTCTTTTTTTTTTTGGTACCGGGGATTGAACTTGGGTCCTTGCACTTGCAAGTCAGGCCACCTAACCGCTGAGCTAAATCCCCGGCCCCTTGCCATGTTCTTTTGCACGAAGAACTATGCTGCTTTTCTATAAACAGGTTAAGAAAGTGTGCTGAGCTCTTTGGAGCTGTCAGCCATCAGGAACAAACTCTCGACTAAACAATCTGTAGGGAAGGGGCAACCCGAGGAGGACACTCAGGCTGCAAGGGACCCCAGAGCTCGGATGCTGTGTACCCTCTGCAGGGAGCAGGCCTATGCAGCGATCATGGTGGCCACAGTCTAGTTCTTGCCTCTCTGTCTCTCTTCAGGGTTTCCTGGTATTGCTCAGGAGTAGCAGAGCCACAGAGGAAGGGGCCTCAGTTTCCCACTTGCAGTTGACCCAGCCTGTGAGGGTAGTCAGATTATACCGTGTCTCCACCGGGCACACAACGACACCTCACAAGCGGCTTCTGCCTAGGTCTTTGGCCGGGCCAAGTCAGGTCTACAGCATAGGTGTCTGTCACACAGATAGAGGAGGCCACATCACGAGGACCACCTTACAGCAGCCCCCATCTCTGAGAAACTCGCCGCCAGCTCCAGGAGTGGAAGGAGACTGAGGGGAGTGACAGAGGCTGTGCCGTGCTGTGCCCTCCTTCCTCCTTGGCCCCTTACTTGAGCTGTCGGGGCTCGCAATCCAGGCCTGGCAGCAGCAGTCGGGCCGCCTGCCGGATGTCGCCGCTGTCCACAGTAAGGCTGCGGCGGTGCTCGGCGTAGGTGATGGCCACACGCATCCACTCCATCAGTGGTGGGAGCAGCATGAAGGGCCTGCGGGCAGCAGAGAGAGATCAGGCTGGGTGGGACGCTGCCGGGGCAGTGGGACCCCTCAGAAAACAGCCACAAAGCTAGGTATCCCACAACCCCCCAGGCTCACAGAGACTCTGATTTGTCCCCTCATTCTACAGAAATCTGTTCGCAGATCTGGAGGCCTTGAGTCATGGGACGTCAGCAGACCTCATCGGCCCTTAGGTGGCCAGTGAGAGAAGGGGTTTCCAACATGTACAGCCAGGCCTCTTGTCCCCTCCCAAGAATTCAGCTCTGGAGCCGGGGCGTGGAGCAGGAGTCCGACTCTTTATTTTGGTACCAGGGATCGAACTCAGAACCTTGTGCTTGTGAGGCAGGTGGTGGCACCACTGAGCTAAATCCCAGGCCCCTTAGACAGTGGCTCCTGAGTAGTGGCGGCCCAGAGGAGTCTCACAGACCCAGGCTCAAACACAGCTTTGCCTCGAGCAGCTGTCACCTCATCATGCTGCACAAACCCTGAGCCTGTCTTCACCTGTAGCACCCTACTTCTCAGGCTCATCCTGAGACCAGGTGATGGTGCACAGCACACCGTGGTGGACAGTTGTCACTGCCTCGGCTAGAGTGCGGCTCACTGGGCCTTCTGACTCCTTGGGCTGGGCTGGGGAGGAATAGCAGCCTTGAGTCCTATGGGGAGGAACCATCCCAGGGGTCCTTCATGACACCAAGACCCATGGGGCGGTGCAGCTAGGTGGGAGCAAGGAGAGGCTGCCACCATGGGGTCTGGACTCCAGGCTGGAGGGGGGGCACCTCTCAAAGGCACTATATGTGCCACCAGGGGGCACCATTCCCATAAAATGTGACAGTGCCTCTTGCCATGTCTCCCCCACCCCACCCTCAC